TCTCTGGTGTTCTGCAGTCTGCGGTGCTACAACCTGCCCCCCCCCCCTGCAAGAGGGCGGCCCTGTGCATGTTTCTCATATTATAGCTATATAGATATATATTGGAGAATAGACAAAAGATGCCAAAAGTCTGTCTGTGCATTGGGAGCATTGTGTGGGTGTGCAGAAGACGCGGTGCAATGATCATTAGGTGTTACATTTGTTGTGGTGATAAGTTATGATGTTGTATACTTTGGCTGGGAGGGATGGGGTGTTTGTGTATGCCTGGGGGGTCAGTGGCGGTCGGGTTGTCAACAAAGAGGACCGGACAATCCGAACCCCACACAACTCTGGATTCCCGTTTTGCTCCCTCTAAGCTGTGCGGTGCAATACCTCGATTTCTACCAGCTAGCTGAGCGCTCTGTAGACTAGCTCCTCGCCAACCACGGATGGTGTTTTTGTATACACGGCCCTCAACTATTAGTTTTTAATCTCATGGATTTGAGTCCGACGTATTGGATGATGTGTTCAAAGGATCACCACAGCGATATCTGCGTCCCCAAGAAACGGACAATCTGCCTTCACTCTGGTGGAAAAGCAAATTGAATTTTATTTATTAAATTGTAAATATGTAATGCAATTCAAGAAAATGGCTCGGTCCTTGTCTGTTCAATATACCGTTTCTAAGCTCTGATCTTTTGTATGTCTCAGAAACTGTTTTTATATGTATTTTTTACAATAAATAAGTGTGAAAGATGTTTGGTCGTGTTTTTTAAGGCGTTCTCTTTGTTTTCTATGTGAAACAGCTGTATTTAGAGTTGAATTCTGCCACCGTTTAAATGTTCAAACAGGAAAAACACTGTTTACAAATTATTATTATTTCAACGTAGTAATTATTAATTGATTTTTTTTTTTCCTGTTATTTCAAGGGAAAGTTTCTAATGTTTGAAACTTCTTTTGAAAGACTTTATTTTTCTTATTTCAATTCCTGGAGAAAGCGAATGGGCTTTCTCCAGGAAATCTTAATATCAAACCTTAAAAAAGATAACTCAATAAACCAAATAAGTCAATTATGGCAATAAGTTTAACTAGTTTACTTACAGGCAGTAAGTTTGATTAAATCTACGTCTCAAGTCCGGAGAATCAACAATTTTTCATTTTAATGCTGTTTGTGGCATGAAAGACCCTTTACAGAGAAGCAAAAACCACATTTCCAGCTGAATGACAGATTGGCTTTGCGAGGGGGGGGCATTCAGTTTCAGAACATGTCACAACCTCCACTCAGTAGCTGTAAAATACAGCCGAGGTTTAGACCGCACCAGACTGACCTTCTACCGTTTCCTCTTCAGAGTTTTCTGTCACCGCTGAAGAAAGCAGCACCATTTGGGGTTGTTTGCCTTTTTGTACCTGGAGACATTAGCAAAAAGTGGTCTGTGACAATTCCCAACCAACAAATTAATCCAAATGATTTATATTTATGAGTCAGGCCTCTTACTCTTATGCTAAAATGTCGCTCTGTGTTTGGATTGAGGGCAAAAAATCGGAGAAACCAAAAACCAGATGAGGAAACGGCAGCGGCTGGTTTACTTCTTATCAAAGATCTCAACATAGATTCAGTCTGTGTTGAGAGTCTGGAAATTTTGAGGTGACTGCACATGAAGCAAAGCAGGAGTTTTCACCGGCGAGGCCTCGGACTGGAGCGTCTTTTCCTCCCTTCCAACAGGCAGGAAGTGAAACTCCAGCTCAAACTGGTAATTTGACGTCTTCAGTTCCTCCTCACAGAGCCCTGTGACCCGTCCACTCCAGTGCCACCGACAGCAAGAGGTAAGAGGATCTCTGCCTATGTTCATCAGAGAATTTAAAGAATTAAATCTTAAAGACAACCTGTCGGTTTGAACTTCTTTGCTCTTTTCTTCAGTTTTTAATATTTAAAGATGGGAAGGATGCTGTGATTTGCTGGTTTAAAGAACTAAATGAACTTAAGTGGTCTGTTAAAGGAGAAAAGTCTTTGGTGCTTTGTAACGCTGACATTAAAAGAAGCAGTTAGAGCCCATTTCTATGCTGTTTGGTGTGTTTCCAGTTGGGCACATCTGGACAGATGTGAGCGTTTCCTAAGCTGCTCTGCTTCTCCTGCTCACAGACGGCGTTTCCAAACCCTGTGAATTCTGCCCCTGTTCCCGTTGGTCACGCTGTCTCCCCGCTGGTTTTCCCACAGTTGCCCCCCCCCCCCCCCCCCCCC